CAAAGGACTTAACTCAATGGAGGATACAAATCTTAATCTCTGCTGTGCACCATTCCTGAAAGGTGATTTGGGCCAAACACAGATTCACGATGATCCTCTGAAACACTGCAAATTTTCCACAGCGAAGTAGGAGTCCTTCTCAGCCAAGAAAAACAAAAGCATTTACAGCATTTTATATTGTTAATCACTTCAGTACCCAAATTCTCAAGTCATCTTTCTTGACACAAAGTGGCGTAAGTTAGATCAACAGAATAAACAGGTGCATTTTAACCAAAGTCTTGTTTCTTTATATGAATTGTAGTCTGGAACGACTGAGTAGCCTTTAAATCCTCAGATGGTTTCACTGCGTCCTGTGGAAGGACACCCTAACCTTCCACACGACTTTACAGCCCCGGACTGCCATCGCTTCCTCTGCATCCGCTCACCCATGAGACCACTCTGAATTTTAATTCCTGATCCCAGACAAGGAAAAGGAAAAAAAAAAAGCAGCTGGACAGGATTTTTCACTAGATTAGTGAGTTAAAGTGGCATACTCCAACAAATACCAGAGCCAGCTCAGGGGAAGGGTGGCTGGGAGCAGACAGAGAAGGCAAAGACACCTTCCTTCTCAACCACAGTGAGCCCATCAGGCTGATCTAACTGCTGCAGAACAGCAGCATAAAGCAGAGTCTTCACGTGGCACAGACATCAGCCAGGATTTCGGGCTAATCTTGACTCAAATCACACTTAAAACACACCAAATTCTCTGGCCTGCCAGGCACAGAGGAACAGACTTCAGTCTTTCACAAAAGCATCCTTATCTATTTCCAAGAAAAGGTGAGCTTCGTTATGCATCTGCAACATTGTGCCTTGAAAGAAGCCAACAAACACTGGTTTTGACAAAGGATTTAGCCTGGGACAAGATAAAGTCATCCTTAAACAAACAAACAAAAAAAATCAGTTAACATTCAGCACAGGAAAGATCTGCGGCAGTTTCACCAAAACACATCCAAGATTGTCTTGCCAGTTACAAATTTATGAGGTTGACAATCATTATAACCATATGAAATATGAGAACTTTGAAGGTGACAAAAACATTAGT